TAACTTGCCAAATTTAATAATGTAGCTCTTTTCAATGGCAAAATTTGGGAGGGCTTTATCCTTGGTTACTTTAATAATATTTTCTCTAGGGAGAATGTGGGCATAGATGAAATTGAGCCTGGCCTTAGAGGTTTGAGTCATATAGGTGGTAGGGAAATTAATGATTCTCTCATCTCTATTCCACCTAACTCCACTATTTGATCCACAAAGTAAGTCTAAAATTTCTTGAGAATCAAAAGGTGCATGGCTAAAAGGAAAATATTCATGAAATTTTATATCTTATACTTTAAGGATTATATTAATAGTGGAAGAGTCAAAAGGTACCCATATCCCTGTTACATAATATTTAAAATCAATATCCTCCTTTCTATACCAATAAATAGTTCATCACAGAAATGAGCCCAACCTCTAACAAAAATGGTTTGAAGGATTTGTTTGGTTAGGTTAAGAAAACCATGCTCAGGGATCAAAGGTTTAGTGATTACCCAGTCTATATACCTAGCCTCGATTGCCTCAGAAATAAATTTAGTTCTATCATAAGTGGAAGCTCTCTTCTTCTCTAATGTAGAGGTTTTAGGGGCCATTGTTATAGAGAGAAACTTAATTGTAGAGAAGATAAATAGATGGAATGCAGGACATAATGAAATGAAAATAATATGCCAATTTATAATCGTCAAAGTACTACGTCGTCGAAGGGCATGGTGTTCGACACTTAATGCATGTATTAGGCATTGAGCTTGATTAGCACTACAATGCTTCGAAGATAAACACTGCAGCACTAGATTACATAATTATTAAAGCTATTTAATTTTAATTTAGGGATCAGCACTAAAATCAAGGCAAGCAATACGATGTTGTGATATCAGCTATCGCGATGCTGAAATTACATAATGCAAACATGACAAATGACTTAACTATTAATGAAAAAAATATAATGTAATGTGAATAACAACTACACCAAATGTAATATAGATATATTATTAATACAATATGATTAGGTCTAATTCTATAATTAATTCAACAATATAATAAATTTATAAAAAAGATAAATTCAACCTCGGGAATCGCGCCAAAAAATTGATGGGGGCGGTGGAATAACCTAAAGAATTATGAAAAAGATTTTGGGCTCTATCAATCCGTAAATAATGCCTATGTTCTCTTTGATGTAAAAAATATAAAAACTCCACTTAATATATGTAAGTATAAATATCAAAACATGTAAAATAATGATAAAGTAGAGTATTGATCCCATGAGAAAAAATATTTACTTGTAAATAATAGTATTATCTACTTCAACTATAATAATTATCCTACTCAATTAAAATAAATTTTGTTGAAGATTCAATTACTTATTTTAAAATAAAAAATAATTAAAGAAAGCATAATTTGGATAATGTATTTAGAATTAATGAAATAGAAATATAATATATTTTCTAATTGTTCTCTTTAATATTAATGTTATTCATTGCATATGTATCATCGACCTTTCAGTCAAGCTTTAAGAGATAAAGGATAGATTAAACACTTCCAACCTCAATATTAATTTAAACTCCCATAATTTGTCAGTCTATAAAAATTTTAGAAGGGTAAGTAAAACATGTATTGTCAAAACCCCTTCATGATAATTAATCTCTATAAATTTGATACATTATAAGCACTATGTATATGCTTGCATCATACAATTCCAATATACCTAGTTGTAAGTGCTTTCCTATTCTTATGCTCCACATTACACTAGATATTAACTATAAATATGACCATTATGTGCATTAAATAAAGAATTGGTATATTGAAAATATCATGAAATTATTGATGAAGAGAACTCACTAGTAATCTATATTTCATTTACACAATCAATATAAAACAAGAGAATTTAGCTAGACATGAAGAATAAGTTAAACATATTCATTTTCATTAGTTGCACAAAAGAAAGAAATTACAAAAGAAATAATATCACCGGATGGGTTTAATGATCTCCTATACACTCCTTGAACTTATAGAATTTGCTTCCACAATTACAAGACAAACACTAATGAAATGTATCTAGTACTTCTCTGAATTTTCTTAGTTATCACTCTTAAGGAAAAATAGAGAACTATAAAGAATAAAATTAAGCAAGTGATTGAACTCTCCTAATAATATTATAAACACATAATTTATAGAAAAACACAAAAAATAGATTATGGCGTTGCAGCGCTCGAGACACATGCGCCATGACGCCTATAAAATGAACTAACATTGTAGCGTTAAAAGGTTTCCTCTGATGCAGCGCTTGCTGACATGGACCAACTATTTAATGAACTGACGTGTCTCTTTATTGGTAGTTGTTACATGAATAGCTACAATTGTAGCGTCACACTGTTGTTAATGGTTGAGCATTGCGACATCGATGTGGCACCCTCTTGACTTAATAATGCTAGAATTTGGCATTGTAGCGCAATGCAGATAGAGACTGAACTTTGCAGAGCTGACTCCTCCGATGTTATAGCACTGGGATTATTGAGTTGTCTTTGTGGCTTTGACTCCTCTAGCACTTTGGTGCTATCAAATAGAGACTGTACATCGCCATGTCCATATTCGGGCACTCTAGCGGTGTCAATGATGGCGTCGTAGTAGTATTGTGTCTGATGCCGCGGCATTATGCCAAACTTACCATTTTTTCTCATTTCCTTTATTTCATATACAAACACAACTAAAACAACACATTTTTACTTACAAAATTAATATATAAAATATAAAATTATTTACACTTATTAATTACATGACACCATATGATTTTCATGCATGCCTCACTCCAGCGTTTGCTCTAGGAACCATTCAGACACCTAATGAAACTCACCCTGATATCATTTTCAAGAAATAGTATGGTTTATGTGGTAAACCTGTATGACCATCGTAGTATTACACCGCCCGGGAGTGATGCATTACCCCAAAGACCACATAGAAGGTGCTAATTGTGGTTATATATGTATTTTTTCTATGTTAGCTTGTGATGATGAAACTAGTACCATGGATAATGTATTTGGGCTTTCCTTTTTTATGCAATTAAGTATTACATATTACCTTAGGTTAGAAATATTTAGTACTTTTCCTAAATTTTGTTTATTTCAAAAAATGAGTTTTTCAAAGAGATCTACATAATAGGATATATACTTGAGCTTCAGGTCAAACTTATGAATAAAAAATAAGTAAAAACGACATACATAACATAACTGTCAGATATACTAAATAAGCAATATAAGACAAGAAGACATATATAACATAATTTTGACATATAGTGAACAAAGAACACCATGCGCTACTTAAGTGAACATTATAAATATACTGAACGACGACACAAACCCAAACGAACGACATAACATACACCATAAGGTTATATTCTCAGTTAATGAACTTGTGCAAATGTGCCTGAAGTTGGCTTTGTGTAGGACAACATTCAAAGTAAAACTCAAGCTCGAGCTACAAATCTAGCTTGTCGGTTATATTAAAAATATTTGTTCTTGTACCTTCATTATTGATTTTCATACTAATAAACAATAAATGCATCATCTTCTGGCAATTAAGGATGGTAAAGAATGGACTATGTCATCCACCGACGTTTCGAGTTCACTAGCAGGAGCACCACTTCATTTACGTCGTTGCTGATAGTAATGCATTTGGAGGACGAGTTGACCAACAAAATGAAGATCATGTGTGCGTAACTTCCTTTCTAATTTTATCCAACTTTGACTATTCAAGAAATTATTCCTCTTATACACATTAATTTTTATTAACTCTTTATGCATACTCATAAGCATATAATCATGATCTTCTATCCATTCATGCATGCAACATCAAAATATTTCATTTTTGTTAGCCATCATCTCAAAAGGACTATCTAGGCATCTTCCCATATATTGGTGCAATCTTTTGGTTCCATTGGAATGTCCCTAATTTTATCTAGAATTGGCCAGTTCATTAAAAAAAAAAACAAGAGTTCAACGCACAAGTAATGCAACGAGCTCATCTGATCAAAGTAACTCCAACGTATCTTCTTCAGTAGTTTCCTTGCAGCTATTAGGGAGGGCTTTGGCCAACATAATCATAACGAAATGTGTATAACACTAACTACATGCAGCACTAATGAAAGCAATAATTTGAGGGGACATTTCACTGGAAAAAAATTTCTATAAATTCAAACAAATTTGCAGAAATAGCTAAACTAATTAATTCCCGTCAAACTATTGAACAATTAGTTAAAATTACACAAATTGACAAAAAATATCAATGTTCTTATGTCATAAATTGTTTTAGAAAATTATATTGCAACAGGGACTATGTTACATAGCACACAACTAAAAAAGCGCCATTAAAATAACTTTTTAAAAATAAAAATTTATGCACAAGTCGTCCGTCAAACAAGCGACTTTCTTCGGCTATGTCAGCAACCTAATCAACTTTGTTGACTTCTCCTTTTTGACTAGGGAAGAAACTAGTCGCTTGTTTAATGGGCGATTTGGCTACTCTTAATTTTCTGTTTTAAAATGCTTAATCATATAAATTAATTATATATTAGGTTTAGTTTGAAAACTTATTCATGCGCGATACTATTGTTCTGCTAGAATTAAACTTTAATATATATTTTTAGATGAATATTTTTGAATGAATCATTATTGACCCAGAAGAGAGAGGAGTTATCGCTCCCAACTATGAGGAGATACCAGCACTAAGACAACAAGCAGTAAATTAATAACCCCACTTCTATAATTAGGGTGCCATTTGGAGAATCCTCCTCGCCGGTCGGATCGCCTAAACCGGATGATATCCGGCACTTGATCGAGTCCTACCACACGTGTAGATTCCTCACAGCAAAGGAATTAAGAAAGTCAATGATCAACGCCCGAAACACAAAGCAAGAGCTGATTAAGGGTAGCATAGTCTTTTCAACCTTCGACACGAACGAATGATATAAATCTGATTTAATAACCAAGTCGCCGAGTGCCGCCCAGTCAAACCTACAGCTTTGGCAAGGCTCAGTCAAACTTTTCCTCCTCTCCTTCTCAGGAAAGAAACCATTTTTCGGAGAATTTCCACCCCCGTGCTTTTACCTCCTATTTCTTGGCTTTTGGTTCCCATCAACTCTCTTTAAACTTCTCTTCTTCCTCATCTTTTATTTTTTACTCTTCATTCCATATCCAATTTCTCCTTCTCCTTCATGGCTTCTTCTTCTGGGAGTGTAGAAGCCTCCTCCGCTAGCTTTTCCTTCGCTTCTCCTTACGAGGCTTCATTCTCCGATCTCCTCGCCGGCGAAGGTTCCGCCAACGATAGACTGACGGGATTGACCGTTCGAGGATTTGGAGATAGAGGAGGAGGAGGTGGAGGAATACCCAAGTTTAAGTCGATACCTCCTCCTTCTCTTCCTATATCGCCTCCTCCGATCTCTCCTTCCTCCTACTTCGCCATCCCTGCTGGTCTCAGCCCAGCGGAGCTCCTCGACTCACCCGTCCTGCTTTCTTCAAATAACGTAAGCAGACTTAACAAAGTTATCTAATTGGATGCCTTTGTAATAAAGCCAGTCAGATTTGATCCTAAAGATGCTCCCTTTATTGTTGTTTCTTTCTATAAATGGATATGTTGGTGCAGGTCAGCTGATGGATTCTTCTACTTTTTTTACTGTTTTAGCAGATTCTTTTTTCTCCAACCACTGGAACTTTTCCTTCCAAGACATTCAATTGGAGAGGAATCAATTCTGGTAGTAATGATAACGAAGGCAGGGAAGAGGAAAACAGGGCTTACTACGATTTCTCCTTCCAAAATCAAAACAAACGCAGCAGCTTTCAACAGGTTTTGATCAATACCTTTACAAAGTTGAATAACTAGAGATTATTTATTAAATTTTCTCAAGACTTGTTTTTTATTTCAATTTTGCAGCAACGAGATGCTTTCAAGGGAAGCCAACAACCATGGAACCACCAAGAATCAAACATCAAGACCGAAATCCCTGCTGCAAATTCTTCGGAGATGCAAACTCTGCAACTAAACACACAAGTCAATAGCAACAATAACGTCACAAGAGAGCAGAGGAAGTCTGACGACGGCTATAACTGGAGAAAATACGGGCAAAAGCAAGTTAAGGGGAGTGAGAATCCTCGGAGTTATTACAAGTGTACGTTTCCCAATTGTCCGACGAAGAAGAAAGTTGAACGAAACTTCGAGGGACAAATCACTGAGATCGTCTATAAGGGAACTCACAGCCACCCTAAGCCTCAGTCCACTCGAAGAAACTCTTCTTCTTCTCAGCAACCAGTTCATCCCCTTGCAATCGTTGCGGTGGGCTCAGATGCGGCCGAGCACTCTCATGGCGGCCGGTTGGGGGCCTCCAATCTAGATTCAGTGGCCACGCCGGACGATTCATCGGTCTCGTTTGGTGAAGAAGACGTCGATTTGAGCTCTCATAAAAGCAATCTCGCTGGAGATGAGCTCGACGAAGAAGAACCCGATGCCAAGCGATTGTAAGTTACTTTATATTAAAATCGATTGCTTTCTTCAAATTTAAATTGAGATCAAAGATTAGATTTTTAATTAAAGCGAGGTTATTTAACAGGAGAAGAGAGGCAGAGAACGACGGTGCGTCCGCCGCCGGTAACAAGACGGTGAGGGAGCCTAGAGTTGTGGTGCAGACTACGAGCGATATTGATATACTTGACGACGGCTATCGGTGGAGAAAGTATGGGCAAAAGGTGGTGAAGGGGAATCCAAATCCAAGGTAATTGATCGAGTTTTCTTTTAAGGGCTTGTTTCATTGCAATTTAAATCTACTCAAATTTCTGAATTATTTAGTTGAGAATTTGAAGATTTGGGGATTTAGAAGGTCCTCCTAAAGTAAATCTATCTATTCCACCGAGATAATTTCTTCGATTTGAGCAAGAATTTATTAAAATCCTACTAAATCTAATATAGAATTAAGCATGAAATCATCTTGAATTCATAGTTACATTTGGCCCAATAAAACAGTGATCGAAACTTACGAAGACTTAGTGAATTCTTAATAGTAAAAAATAGAAGTTGATTTTTTGTTTGAAGAACTTTTTCATTTTTTCTACTGCTTTCTTCATTAATTAGTATTTCTGCTCATGGCAGAATACGATTGTATTCATTATTAGCACTATGATCTTGATACTTAACAAATGTTTTTATTTGACTATTACAGGAGTTACTACAAATGTACAACAATGGGTTGCCCAGTGCGCAAGCACGTGGAGAGGGCGTCTCATGATCTGAGATCAGTAATCACCACGTACGAAGGTAAGCACAACCACGACGTCCCCGCCGCACGGGGGAGCCGACCACCGGAGGATAACAGCCATGGAACCACCACGGCGATCAGGCCGTCGGCCATCTCCGCCGCCCCGAGAAACTCTCTATTCGGCCAGAGACTTGATGCTAATTTTCAGTCATATAATGGACCCTTCACTCTTGACATGTTATCTACCCAAAGGAACTACGGCAGCAATTATATGAATCAGCAGCAGCTTAAGACCAAAGAAGAGCCAAAAGATGATATGTTCTTGGAGTCGCTACTAATCTGAAATTGGCTTTAAGATTTCAGGCCGATAAAAAACATTATGCTATTTAGCCTTTTTAATCAGTAGGGAGATAGTGCTTTTTTTTTTCTTATTTTTATATAATTTTGATGTTTTAATACTTTTCTTTGTTGTAAAAATGATATACGAAACTTGAAAATTTGTTCATTTGTTGGGGATCTAATCCTTCATCTGTTGAACAGGAGAAATTATTTTACTGACTTTAATGTGTACAAGCCATGAGGAATATACACATGATATATAAACGAAAGACTATTATAGATCTTAGAAATTAAATAATTTAGGTAAAATATTGAGATTTTATAACATAATCAATAGTTAATGTGTGCCATTTGTTATAAATTAGCAGTAATTGTTATATTAGTGATGTAATTAGTAATTACATAATGAATTTTATTTACAAAATAAGCCCCAAGGCGACGTCACCAGAATAAAATATATTTTCCCTGTAAATAAATATGAATATGCGTAGGATAATAATGACAAACACATATTTTTATATATAAACGACGCGAAGAAGTCAGAGACTATGGGCAGAGTAATTCTGCGCCAGATGGTTTCTGCCTTGCTTCTCAAGCAAAGCCTGTCGACCGGTCGTCCTTTCGATGAAGCTTCCAGGAAGGCAGGGCCATCAAAGTCGTGGCCTGCTTGGCTTCGGACAGACGGCATCTTGTGGGGATTGGTAGGTGAGAAACGCGGCCGACACGTCTTTTGTGATGAAGGATAAACAAGGAGGCTCAACTGAGGTAGTGCTCTTTGGATCTGTGGATTTCATTAGTATTATTATCTGCACCTTCATAACATAAACTAATATTTAATGACCCTTCGATGTAGTTGAGAACCCGTTTAAATGCTTGACTAGAATGGGATAGATTTGGCCACACAACATGGTCAAATAAAAGATGAACTTAGCCAAAAGAAGATGACTAAATCAAGATGCTTCATAGTTAAAAGTGCATGACAAATGAATAAGTAATGCATTCAAAGAGGATGGCAATACTAGGAGTATACTTTATCAAATATGATAAGGCAAATCTAAGATAACTCTTAGCCAATAGGATATGAGTGAGGGACGTAAAAATTATAATCAAAGGGGTATGATTATAAGAGGACAAACTCTAGCTAAGGTGGTTTGGCTAAGAAGTCTAATTAAGGTACATAACTAGACTACCGAGTCAATTTAACATTAAGTTATTATGCATGCATGTGATGCAAAAAGGGGTGGATTTGAGTGATATTTAAAAGTGATTCAATAGATGTGGCTAAAAGGGGGATTTGGTTTAATTAAAATTTGAATAATGTGAAATTGATATTTGTTTTGATCTTGTGCCATAGTTACATTGACCAACCGAGGGCTTACTGCCGCAATGCTCCTAGGGGAAAAATTCTAAATTTTTCATTCATGCACATTGCCCTTAAGACTCTCTTCAGAATAGATTCAGATATTCACATTCATATAAAACACTCACAGATGCATGCAAGAGGTGTTAATACATTTTTTTTATTACATTACCTTTACCAATCTGGATTAGAATTGGTATAAGTGAACACTATTTCAGCAGATATTACAATCCTCTCCCTCCTCAAAAAATATCATACTCGACATTTCAAAAGTAAATAAGACAAATAGATCAAGGTATGCCTAGCTATCTCATCTTGTATTATTTCTTCCACATAGCTTCTCATTTAGTTTTGTGCTTCTGTTGCATCTTGACCATTAGAATATGTTCATTCATTATGTTTATTCATTAACATTCTAATATCATATACCAAATTTCTTTATGGTTATTCTCTATTGCTCAGATTCAAACATATCTCAACTTTGTTTGTAGATACTCGATTCTTATAATCAAATACCCATTTCCTTAGAGATGACTCGTAGAATACACTGTGAATATCATAAATTTTTCAATCCTTTCAATTATTCTAAATGGTCCAATATATCGTGGAAAAAACTTTCCTTCATTTCTAATGCTACTTATGCCTTTCATCAATTTGATATTTATTTGTACAAAATCTCCAACTTGAAATTCCATAGCTCGGTGCTTTGTATGATAATACTACTTCTTCTTATCCTTCACTGCTTTTAATCTATCTCATATTAGACTGATCTTTAAGTAGCAACGTCAGTTAAGAGTGGCCCAATTAGAATCCACTCTCCCACCTCTGTCTATGATAGTGGGGTTCTACTTACTATTATATAGAGATTTGTAAAGAACCATACATATACTCAACTAAAAACTATTGTTATAAGTAAATTTGATCATAGGTATTTGATCCTCCCAACATCTACCCATATTTAGAACATACAATCTTAAAAGATTTTCCAATACCTAAATAAACCTATCAGACTGTTTATCAGATTTTAGTAAATGAAAAGTCATACTAAAATATAATTTTATACATAGGCCTTGTTTAATTCCTCTCCATAGCCTAGAGGTAAATATGTCATCACTATCATAAACTATCACCCTTGACACTTCATACTATTAGACAACATCTAGTATATATACATGTGTCAATCTGTCCACTAAATTAGTCTATCGGGTCAAAATAAAATATGAAAACTTCATTAGAGAATCTACGACAACTTGGATAGCATCATGTCCCTACCTTGAACTCAAGAATCCCATAGAAAATTTGTAGTCCTTTCTTTCCATTTCATCTCATGAATATGCAATGATTGTAGAAGACCTCTCGATAAGTAAAGCTTTAGTTTCACTAACTGATAGGCTTCACATTTAGCAACAAAATCTATCACATCCTTTTTTAGTATGGGCTACCATAAGATGCCTTTTAATTTATTATACATCTTGATACTTCTCAAATAAAAGGGTATAACTTGAATAATGTGCTTTATGCAAATTTTATTTCCATAAATTCTCAGAACTAAGGACCCATAACATGTTCTTATACAATATGACTTCACAATCAAATAATCACAGTTAAGATTTCTTACCATACTTGACTTGATCAATCAACTTCAAATGTTATATATCTAACTTTTAGGCTTTCTAGATCCTTTTACAGAGGCATTGGATAATCATTTGAGCCAGAATACTAAATCTTGATTAACTTGATCAATCACTTCTCTATTCAACATCTCTATTTCTCAATCCAAAGAATTATAAGAAGTAAGTAGAAAAATAAATATTCAAAAAGTTTTCCAACTCAAATCATCAACCACCACATTTGCCTCATCAGGTTAATACTATATAGTTAGATTATAATTATTAATCAGCTCAAGACATATACTCTATCTCATATTCAAATCTTTTGTACAAATATGTACTTCAAACTTTGGTGATCGATGAGGATCTCCCATCTAACTTTATACGAGTATTGCATTTAAATCTTCAAAGCAAACACAATATTAACAAGACTTAAATCATGTATCAAATACTTCTCTCTTGCTGCTTCAACTTCCTAGAAGCATATGCTATAACATTTTTGTGTTGCATCAGAACACATCATAATCCCTTCAGTGAAGCATATTTAAATACTTGAAATTTCTCTATACCTAAAGGGATGGTAAGAATTAGAGTAGATGTCAAACAATTATTCATCTCTTAAAAACTCACTTCACAATCAAATGTATAAATGAATGTCACTAACTTCTAAGTTAGTCTCATCAGAGGTGCATAAATTAAGAAAAAAAATCCTTTCACAAATTATATATAATAATCAACCATGCTTAGGAAATTATGTACCTCAAATATAATAGTTGGCCTTGATCAATTAGTAATAGTTAAAACATTTTAGGAATCTATAAAAATATTTATACTGCTCACCACGTGCCTAAAAAATGAGATACTCTTTAACCAAATATCACACTTGGAGAACTTTGCATACAACTAATGTTGCCTCAACGTCTTCAAAATAATCCTCAGATGTGATGCATGCTCTTCCTCAGAAGTTGAGTAAACCTGAATATCATCTATGAACATGATCATAAATTATTCTAAATATTCCCTGACTATCCTATTCATTAAATCCATAAAGACTACATGTGTATTAGTCACCTTAAAAGGTATGACTAGGAACTCATAATTTATGCATCTTAAATTGAATGAAAGCTTTGCCACATCTTCTTCTCTCACCTTCAGCTGATAATATCTCGATCTCAAATCAATCTTGAAAAATACTGAAGATCTTATGAGTCGATCAAATAGATCATCGATCCTTAGTAGAGGACACTTATTCTTAATTCTTACCTTTTTTAATTCCATATAGTTAATGCACATGCGCATAGTATTGTCCTTCTTCTTTACAAATAAATAGGTGCTCCCAATAAAGAGATATTAAGGTGTATGAAACCTCTTTCAATCAACTTATAAAGCTGAACCTTTAACTATTGAAGCTTTTTAGATTTCATCTTATATAAAGCTTTGGATATTAGTATAGTATGATAAAATATGTCAATGTAGAACTCAATCTCTCTATCAAGTGGTAAACTCACTAACTCCTCATAGAATATATTAGGAAACTCTCATACTACCGGGATACTATTTTAAAATTAAGATTCTATGCTTCTATCCTGAATAGATGCCAAAAATATTAAACAACATTTCCTCCATAATAAATCTACCTACATAGCAGATATAAATAATGAAAGGACCCCTCTAACTCCTTAAAATAAGTAGCTTTCAATAACCAAAAATAATATGACCATCTTCTTCACACAATCAATGTGAGCTTCATACTGAATCAAAAATTCAATACCCAGAATAATGTCAATCTTATAAATAGGCAAAAATATCATACTAGATCTCCATTTTATATTAGATATCTCTATATCATAGAAGCACACTCTTCTAGCTACCATACCATCCTCAATCAGTAAAATATTAGACAATGAAGAAGACAATATTATGAAAGTCAAATGAAGCTAATCAAAGTGCCTCTCAAAAATAAATAAGTAACTAGCTCCATAATTAAATAAAACGCGACATGGTATATAAAACATTATAAGTCTTATCAGTAATCACATTTGGAACATCTCTGGCCTTGTGCTTAGTCAAATTATATATATGTTTCTAAATTGGAGCTAGAGAAACAAAACTATCAAGCATTTTTATATTGCTCCCGAAGAGTCTCCCTACTATATAACCAGAAAAACTACCTTTGATAAATGATCCCTTAAAAATCTCATAAGGTGGAACTATCTTTAATCTCCATGTCGGACTTATAGAACTCTTAC